CATTCACCCACCCACATATCCACCCATCCATCCATCTACCCACCCGCCCATCCATCCATCCATCCACCATCCATCCATCCATCGTTCAAGCCACCCATCTTCCCTCTGCAGCTCTTCTTGAACCCCCCTTCCCAAGTCCAGAGATCTAGGACACCCAATGTACATGCCCTATGACTCCTTGGTTTTGATGTTGTCTCCCAAAGAAGAGGTCCTCATGAAGAGGTCACCCTGAAGCACAGTGTCTACCTTGACCTACTGCGTTCTCTTCCCATCTCGCTCTAGCACTCCTTGTGATCATTTCACCCATACCAGCCTGGGCCCCCCAAGCTTCAGACTCTCTTCCTTCAGTCTCCCTGTCCACTCCACCCCACCTCACTTTTTTACCGACGTCCCCCTTGTCCTCCAACTCATCTCCTGGTCACCTCCCCGACCAGTGTTTGGTTGAGTTTCAGTCACTGCAGTTACCTGTTCTCCTTGTTGACCGCCATGCTCGAGCTGTGTTCCTATTTCTGCCTTTTCCCGTTTCCCTCTATGCTGGCCACTATGCGGGCAGAGAAGCCAGCACCCAGAACAAGATCTTGTGGGTTTCATAAAGGCACAGATGGTGAGGCACAGCCCAGCGTTGTGTCCCGAAGGACTGAGGAAGGTGAAGGGTCTCCCAAGAGTGCCTGAGGGCTAGTGGGTGAGGGACCAGTCTGGCAGAGGCAGACAGTGCTCATGTAGACACAGTCCCTGCAAAATAAGGGGTGGGGACCCTGAGCTCTGCCCCAGGAGGACAGGGAGATGCATTGCCCTCCAGAGGTAATGGATGGATTCAAGGTCATCAGAAGGCTTTTCCGGCATGACTCAGTTCTGCCTGGATCCTTGACACAGCTGGTCCCATGCCAGGGGCTGGGCTGCACCCGGGACCAGGACTTCCCACAGCAGCGCTGCTGGGAGTCAAACAGCCGAAGCCTAGTATGTGTGAGAAGACACCACTTACCCGAGAGGATAAAAAAGATGCCAGAGACAAAGGCCAGGATGGTCCTGTGGGGGCGGATGTGGCCAATGTTGCTCAGGATGAACCCGATGAACATGAAGAAGAGGCTGACCAGAGGGAACGGCGTGGCCGAGCGGATCATCTCTAGCCAAGGGACGAGAGGACACCCTCAGTCTCCAGGCCCCACTTCTCAGCCCCTGCCTGAGTCAAGCCGTGTGTTCCTGGCAGCGTCTGCCAGCTGTTGCCCAAGGCCCCTGCCTGCAGGGGTCCTGTGAGCCCTCCGTGGGTGGCTGGCACTGCCAGAGTGGGCAGGGCTTCTGTGTAGGGTGTCTGGCTTTAACTGCCAACACGTTCAGGGCCTCTGCCTTCTCTGGGCATCAAATGCTCCCTCCAGGAAGTCTAAACGGCCACCAAGATGGCAGCCATGGGTGGCCATTGGTCACCACCTCTGGCCCCTCCTCTCCCTGGAGGTCACCACCAGGCTTCTGTCTTCTTTAACCTCTGATAGCTGGGGCACAGTTCTTTGGTGGATTTGTCTAGTCTTGTCCCTGGTTCCTGAGCAATGACGTCTAATCCTTGGACTTCCCAAGTGATGGGAATGTCTGCTAGTCATGGAGGGCCCCGGACACACCTAAGCTCATGCCAACGTGACTCAGGATGGGGGCCGGAAAGGCCAATGCTGATCAGAGGGCTGGGATCTTGAACCACATGAGACTGGCCTGACTATGTGCCCCAGCCCAACCATGTGTCTAACCTGACCCAGGCAGCGGGCCATGCTCAGGCCTTTGGTGGTGTATGTGTGAAGATATCTTGCTGGGGACTGAGCCTTCAGCCCGTGTATCTGGGCTGTGAGCTGGGTGGGGTGGTAAACTACACAATTAGATCTGGGGTCAGAGCCAAGTCTGTTGGGGTCAAGGTCATGAATTCAGTTTCATGGGGGCCAGAGAGCTTGGGTCAGTTCCTGGGCCTCTGGTCTGAATGTCTGTATTCCTCCAGTGTTTGCCCCCCAAACACTGGAGTCCTAATGCCCACTGTGATGGTTATTAGAGGGTGCGCTGGTCATGAGGATAGAAACCTCATGTGGGATTCCTGTCATTATAAAGGAGGCCTCATAGACCTCTCTCAGCCCTCGGCCATGAGAGAGCAGGAGAGCAGACACCAGCTAGGGGCCATGAGGAGGCTTGGACCAGAATTTGAGAACTGAGAGTGATATATCTCTTGCTTAATAGTCACCGGCTAGTGGTACTTTGTGGGAGCAGCCTGAAGGCACAGATCCCCTCTCCCTCCCAGTGGGTCCCAGCATGGAGACTCCAGCAACCTGTCACCACCACTCAGAAAATGACCTATGCACAAACTCTGAGGACTCAGACCAGCAAACCCATTGGGCGGAGGAGTATTAGCTCTCGAGAAAACAGCCAGTGCCCCGGGCCCTTCCCACCACTCTGCTCAACAGCCCAGGCCCCACGGCTCGGTGGAGAAGTTGAGGCATTTACTTAGCACGTTGACTGTGGACTCAGATGTCAGCTGGGTGTTCATAGGCATCACGTATTCTATGGTGAAGCAGCGTCCCCGTTCCTCGCCTGCGAAGACAAGACTCGCTTACATTTCTGGGTCTTACTGAACATGGATCTGGAGTCGGGACATTTACACAGCACTACCAGGGGCTTCCAGAAGGCTCTGTGAGCTGATGTGTTTGCATGTGGACGGATGCCCCCCTGCGGGCCTCTTTCTGGCTGGGGGCCCTCAAAGGGCTGGGAACACGTCCTGGTGCCTCAACAGAATGAAGGCGGATGGAGCGCCGAGGGTCCCATGAAGGGTGGCAGCCCTGCAGATTCAGGTCGAGTAAATGGTCTGGGGTATTCTTGGAGTTTCGGGCAGACTGGGCTGATCATGGCGCTTGGCTGGCCTAGACTCCCCAGTGTGGTGTCACGGGGCAGAAGCCCCAAAGCCCTGGCTTAGCTTTGGAGGCCTGGCTCTGGTGGCTTCAAACTCTGCTTCAAATTTAAGCAGAGAGGGACGCCACACAGCCCAGGCAGCGGGAGGTGAGGGCAGGGCTGGACGCCATACCCCAAGCAGATCCAGCATGTCCCTGGGGACCAGGCTGTGGTTCCCCACAAAGCACTGTTGGGGAGCACCTACTAGCCCCAACCCCTCAAGCCCTACCATGAAGCTGGGAGGCCCAGCTCCTGCTACCCAAGGCACATGCAGCATAAGAGGCCTTTCAGGAGAGACTCAGGCCCATCGTGGCGATTCGGCCAGCCTGGGCTGGGGGCCAGTCTTGCAGGCAAGGCGGTGCTCCTCTTGGG